CTATGTTTCTGGGCCTTGATCGTGTAAGGATCCTTGCTGTATATGGGAGGGTCAGAGTGCTCTCAGATTCCATCAAAAATATCTTAATTTGTGTTCCGAAGATGAAGGAATGTCCTACGGTTTAGAACGACATAAGGGTGAGTAAATAATGACAGAATTTTTGGGTGAACTATCTCTTTAATACAGGAAGTGATTTTGTGTTTTCGATTTCTTTTGTTACAGCGGAAGACATGTCCAAGTGCTGCTTCTAGAGAGAGGAACAGACTGACAAACTTACCTCATAAACAACCATTTTGCCCTTAAAAATGGCCATTAGGTGCATAGGCTCCTTTCCCATGGGAACGCGGACCTGTACTGGTTCTCCGTTGTACTTCTGGTCCAGGATCACAGCCTGATATGCAGAAGCTGTCAGCTCCGCTGTGCTTGCATGGCGGCCCTAAAATGCCATCAACATTCAGAATTGAACTGAGAATGCCTTTAAAATTCTTAATTCCTGACTTTAAATTGAATTTAAATAACAGGATGCAAAATTCCAATTTGAATGTAGGAAAGTGGAATTAAAAATGAAATGAAATTCAAAGAAATTCATATAATTGTACTTTATAACTATAAAAGCAGTGTGACACTTAAGACTGGAGTAATGACTGCTGAAAATATAGCTTTGAAATCACAGAAATGATTTACATTTTAAAACAGTTATTTTACCTTATAATAATATTTCACAACATTTCAGTTTTTACTGTATTATTGATCAAATAAATTGGTGAGCAAGACTTCTTTCAAAAACATTAACAAATCTTCTTTGTACAGGATTAGATTACAATGTCCAATGATTAAATAAGGACAGAAGAGACACTTACTTGCCACATGTACAGAATGTAGTGTAGTTTGCTGTTGACTTCATATTTGTAGAGAATGAGGTAACAGTCCCCACCGTAGAAGTGGCCAAGCCACTTCCTCTCCACAGGGACGGGCTCATTGTCCTCTATTCTCCATACCTGAGAGATGAACACATTCATGTAATGAGTTCTGTTTCACTGAGATGAATGAAAGACAATGAAAGGTCATTTCACTGACCTCGGCTTCGCCCGACCCATCATCCACCATTTTCTGCTGTGCCGCCAAGTCAGGTCTGGCATGCATTGAGGTCGCGTCGAACTTGACTTGCTCAACCTTGGCTACAAAAATCAGAAATCATAGCATAGTAGAGTCAGAATCATGGGTTTCTAAGGGAACATTCATACAGGATGCATTCTTGTTTTGTCTATGCTATTTTTTTTAAAATTGTTGACCAGTGTACACAGAACAAATGGATGCCATTGTTTTTATTAGCATCTCACCACAGCTGTTTTTAACACAAGCACACATCCTGTATGAACGCTGCCTTATTCTCATACGTAGATGATTGTCTGCATAGTATTGGTCATTTGAGCAGTGCCAACTGAAATAGCGATGCAACTAACATTTTTCAGTGGTGTGAAAATATAAAAAATTGCTTTTTTTCCCTGATCAGTGTTGTCTTAGTTTCAGTCAGCTTGTCAATATATTTTTAGATTTTCTGTTTTGATATTAAAGTATGTCATATTTAAAAAAAAATGTTTACTTTAGTTTAGGTCATTTCACTGACCTCGGCTTCGCCCGACCCATCATCCACCATTTTCTGCTGTGCCGCCAAGTCAGGTCTGGCATGCATTGAGGTCGCGTCGAACTTGACTTGCTCAACCTTGGCTACAAAAATCAGAAATCATAGCATAGTAGAGTCAGAATCATGGGTTTCTAAGGGAACATTCATACAGGATGCATTCTTGTTTTGTCTATGCTATTTTTTTTTAATTGTTGACCAGTGTACACAGAACAAATGGATGCCATTGTTTTTATTAGCATCTCACCACAGCTGTTTTTAACACAAGCACACATCCTGTATGAACGCTGCCTTATTCTCATACATAGATGATTGTCTGCATAGTATTGGTCATTTGAGCAGTGCCAACTGAAATAGCGATGCAACTAACATTTTTCAGTGGTGTGAAAATATAAAAAATTGCTTTTTTTCCCTGATCAGTGTTGTCTTAGTTTCAGTCAGCTTGTCAATATATTTTTAGATTTTCTGTTTTGATATTAAAGTATGTCATATTTAAAAAAAAATGTTTACTTTAGTTTTAGTGTTATTTTAGTAACGCTGCTAAAGTTATTTTATATTATTTTATATAATATAATTGTATTATTTTATTCTTTATTATTATTATTATTATTATTATTATTTTATAAATTATTTTAGCTTTATTTTATTTTCAGTTTATTTATTTCAAGTAACAAAAATGTTTAAATATATAGTTCAGTCATGAAACTCTAGATGGCGGATTCTGATGGGGTGTTAACGTAACTGATGATATTAAGAGAGTTAAACGACTTGCCACAAGCTTATTGGTTCACGCTGCATATGCAGCCAATGAGTTTACTGCCTTGCATTTATATGTCTGGCTAGCATTCACTTGAGATTCCTGTAGCGCACTTTCAGAGTTAAATTAGGATCTATTTATTTTATGATGCTTTCTTTACATTAGTAAGCCATGTTCACCTATTTTCCCTGGACTGTGAGTGGTGCCCAATCCAACTGTCTGTCCTTTTTCCGTCCACTTCTGGAAGAGCTGTTTGAACACTGATGATTCTGCTCCTTCGCTTACTGTCTCTATGTAGGTGGATGTAGGATATCCTTTTGCCTTTATGTAGGCCTAGAACAATAAAACATGAAGTGAGATGATGAAGTGTTTCTTTAGCAAGAATTTGATATAAATATGATTGCAATAACTTTTGGTGCAATATACTATGCTGAGTTTAGAAATATTGGGCCGTATACAGTAATAATTGTATACAAATGTTCTTTTGTCACAGAAATTGGAAATCCAGAATCTATGCCAGATTTTTTTTTTTGCTCTGAAATAGTAAAGACTTGAATTTTCAGGCCTTGAACAATTTGGATCAATTTCACACAGGTTTTATTCACAAATACTTGCATATACGCAATTGGTGAATGAGTCCCCTTGTAAAAAGCATACTTTGATTAGTGTTTCATTGGTGTAAGACTCACCTCCGCTTTCTTCAGAGATTCTGCTCTCTCAGTTTTTGATGCCTTTTTGCCCTTCCAGATAAAGATCTTTATTCCACCTTGATCCAGCAGATAGCAGTCCTGTCACAGGAACCAATGTCAGTTGGCATATTTTCCACTTTTGAAGTGGCTCTTTCAGTTTCTCTTCAATGTTCGCGCAAAAGTGTCAAACTTTTTGTTTTTGAGAGCCATGCATCTTTTATATCACAATGAGGATTACACACTCATTTAGCATTTGAATAGCCATTCGTCATGAAACTTGCTTGTTTCCTTTCTGGGTGCCTTGTTGTTCCACTTCTCCATTTCAAATCAACATTTTGTCATTTTCAAGACAAGATTTTATTCTGTTTACTATTTAAATGCATGTTCTTGGTCTTGGTGCACAATTCATTGATGCATGTTATTCATTTTTACATTATCTTCTATCAAAATATATCACAAACTTCTATTTCTTGTTAGCCTATTTCCTCCAACTATATTCAGCTCCTTCCTTGGTTTTATTTTTACTTTTCACAATCAATTCCTGATTAATAAAATCAAGCCTCGCAATACATTTCTCACACCGAATATCCTTTTTGTCTTGAAGTTATGTCCGAATACAGAAGCAAAATGGTTTGCCAACAGCATTTCATAATGACTTTTTTTGTACTATACTCTGTCATATTTGCATCACAACCACATGACCAGATCAGACTGTGGCGTGAGCATGACTGTGTTCCTTATGTCTTATCTTGACAGTTATCCACTATGTAGGTGTACACATTATGCTGATTCTGACTACCCCTTATCATGTGTTAACTATTTTATGAGCCTAACTATTTTACACATGTACCTTTCAGCTGCGATCAATGAAATGCACCTGTGCACTTTGACATACTGTAGGTATAAGAGTGACATATATGCTATATATGCTATCATCATGGCCTTTATACAGAATTGCTGTATGCTGTGGTGTTTAGTTTGGGTTGTCGGTCAGGGTTAGTCATACCTCAGTTTTCAGTAAGTCTTGTGTGAGAGGTTTCACTGCCACTTCCTGCACTACAAGGTTCCCCTGAGAATCTGAAATACTTTTCACAGAAGATAGTTGTTTTAGTTGGAGCACGTCATTTTTAAAACATGCTTTAATTTGTGGATTAAACTATTGAACTCACTGAAAGAGTTTAATGGCAGTCTTGAGTTTCTCATCCACAATTTCATCTGGGATGGCATCTTTGATTTGTTTTTTCTCCCCCATTGCCTGAATCATCAATTTCATTGCTTCTTCTGAAGAGACCTCATCATCTCCTTCCACTACAGTCACTTGTGCTCGACCACCCCTTTCTCGATCCCGAATGTCCTTCGCTAGGTTCATTCCCTATGAAAACAAAAGTCTTTAGTGAACTTACTGTGCAGATGTGGTAAGATACAGCATCTGCATCAAGAACGTGATAGTTTACATCACTGAAGGGTATTTTTGCATTGCAAATCACTTCTAATGGTTTACCCTTAACCTCTCCATCCGGTTACTCTTGGGTCCATTCCACTGAATGAGCAGACTCCCCAAGTCCAGCAGGAACACATCACCTTGATTAAAGCTCTTCCAGCTCATTTCCACCTGAACGTAGTGGGATTGAACCTCATTATTTATACTTTCTGGTGGAAAATCTGCTTACTTATAGCTGCCTGTCCATATTAAGATGGGATAGGACACATAGTCTTTAAAGGCGACACCATAGTTCATCCAAAAATGAAAATTCATTACCATGGGTGCAGCAGGCGCAATAATATTACGCAGCGCCTGAAAATAGTCCCCAGCTAACTTCCAATAAGCCTATTTCAGGCGCTGCATAGTATCATTGCGCCTGCTGCACCCATGGTATGGCAGCAAAGTTCCTTGATTACTCTTGAATGAGAGTATAGTTCCTAGCCTTATAGGCCTTAGTACACAATGTAACTACAGAAGAGTCAAGTTTTCAATAGAAAAAATATAGAAACTCTTTGGTTCAAAACTCATTTTTGAGCGAGATGCTAACGGTCTAATCAGATTCAATGATCTATGCTAAGCTACAGCTAAAAGTGCTACCGCCAGACCCAGAGATCGGCTGAATGGATTAGAAAACGGTAAAACTCAACTGTTTAACTCTAGGGGAGTTGGAAAATGAGCCTATTTTCAAAAATAGTGGAGTGTTCCTTTAATGTGGGCAGTTGATTTTTGTGTTGTTGACACATGAGAAAAAAAGTAGTAAAATGTCACAGGGGTTTATTTACACCATGTGTCTTTTTGTAGTGGGTGTTTGAATTCCTCTGTTGTTACTGGGGCTATTCTTACCTCTCCGGCAACCACATGCTTATTTCCCTTCACATGCAGCAGTCTGCGAATGTTGTACGTATTCGTCTCCACTTGTTTCATCCCAGATGCAACTCCACCTTTTTTGTATCTGGAATAAAGAGATTAGAATGATCAACTGCAACTCACTTTTACTCACTCAAAGTTTACCACTTCTTGTAAAATGAAAAGAAGAAGTCTGTCTCTGTAAACTTCCACATTTTTTAATTTCTGTGACTAAGAGAAGCATTATGAAGAGGCTCGGTGGTGGAAACTATGATTAAAGGAAAATATGTGCAATGTGTATGAACTCCCCTTGAAGATGTAATTTATTTATACCATAAACTACGGGATGACTCCTGTCAACAACGTCAGGGTCATATTTCACCCTCAAAGGCAAAATATAAAACATTGGAAGTGATGTTTTTCATAAATAAATTTAAGGGTCATTTTTAGGAACAACAACAATAATAATACATGTCTCATCTCCATCCTCCTTCCCTATAACCTTGATTAATATTCTTCCTGTAAACTGCCCATCATGGCCAATCTAACCTTCTGTTTCAGACCAAAGTATATGAGCACATCAGATTATGCAATGCATAGTTATAATATACAATGTAATATAGAAAAATAGCATGTTGTCAAGTTATTCAAATATAAAGCCACTATGTTAAAGGGATGTTTTTGTCCACCAGTCAGTAATCGACACATTGACTTCTTTTGTCGTGATCTATCATAATGAATAACAGCAAACAAGCTTAAACACCAAACAGATATTTCCAGACCAACAATATCAAGTCAAAGACATTTCACCAAGAAAGACAGTCGGAAGTTAATTTTCTCATTAGGAAACTTTTTAGGGAATATTTTAAATATAAATGTATGTGTTGTCCATTTTTGTCAAACACTTCAAATTATTCACTTAATTGATTCAAGAAATTTATTTAATGTTAGATAACATATCTATTTTTTAAATCCTTTTTATTATTTCTGCTGTTGTTTTTGCCACTGCTGATAGAAGTTTAATTAAAATGATTAATTCATGCATATAAATCACCTATATATGAATTTCTGTACAAAATGAAAAGTAAATTTTAAATGGATGTGTTGGAGCAGATAGTGAAATAATAGCAGCAAGCATACATGTGAAGTTCATAAAAAGCAACGCAGCATGGTTGGTTGAGAATCCAGTCAAAGTGTAGTAACTTAAAACTGTAGAAGATACAATACAAGATCGTTTTGATCTGTTTAACATTTTTTGGCTTCATAACTGCGTTTGTGTTTTTATAGTTTTTGATTTTGATTTTTACTATAATAATCAAATGTGGACAATCGTGATAAAAAATAACGAGTAGGTGTGTCCAAACTTTTGACTGGATAATAATATTATAACATATTATTGTGCATTATTTTAATATATTTTTAATAATATAATATATTTAAAAATATTTGATTTATTCCTACATTGCAAAGCTGAATTTTCAGCATTATTATTCCAGAAAGAAAGAATAAAAATGGTGTTTGAAGGACTATACGTCAGTATTTCTTATTTATGATTCCATTTTTGCCAAAAACTAAGCATTGTACTCATTAAATATTTAGTTGGTTTTGTCTAAAACTTTTTTTTTTTCTTTTTAGATAATGAGACATAACATTATGGGACCTTGGAAGCCAATCTGAAGCCATGGAATGTACCTTCAGAGAAGAAAGTACTTACTCAATATGTACTCAAGTACTAAATCTGACTTTCACAATATAAAAATGTTACAATATCAAAAACATAAAATCCATTTATTCAGTAGTTTGCATTTATTTTCCTAGCTTTTATTTCAAATTTCTAAATTATAGAAAAAAATGTCTTATTTATTATTTACAGTTTTAAAATGGCTTTGTGCCATCCAGCAACTAAATGCATAGCCACAATTAATAAAATCACAAGGCAGTTCCTGAAAAGTACAGTTGTAATTCCAACTTTATTTATATTTAAGACATTTACAGAGCCCTCAAACACACATATTCTATAACCTATGTTGGATGTCATGAATATTGAAAGTCCAACAGGCAGGTTACATTGCAAAGCTATAAGCAAATGTTCAGTTACAAGTCTATTATCTTTAATAATGTGGAAAGCCAATGTATATGTTCAGTACTCATGTTTCATGATGAGGAATCTGTGAAATGCAGTACAGGGGCGTTACATGGTGATCTCAGTTTTCAGATACAGTGGGTACGGAAAGTATTCAGACCCCCTTACATTTTTCACTCTTTGTTATATTGCAGCCATTTGCTAAAATCATTTAAGTTATTTTTTTTCCTCATTAATGTACACACAGCACCCCATATTGACAGAAAAACACAGAATTGTTGACATTTTTGCAGATTTATTAAAAAAGAAAAACTGAAATATCACATGGTCCTAAGTATTCAGACCCTTTGCTGTGACACTCATATATTTAACTCAGGGGCTGTCCATTTCTTCTGATCAGCCTTGAGATGGTTCTACACCTTAAGACATTGAAACATACATTATCAGTGTATTGAGAAGTTCAAAAACATAAATGTTTTTACAAATGCACAACTTCAGACACATAGAAATCTTCTTGGCAAGAGGTACTCCACACATGTGAATGATGCATTTATTTATAAATGCCTTCCAGATGGGACAGTGCACTCGTTAAATGGCTAAATTTCATTGTCATCAAAGCTCAACAAGAATAAAATTAGATTTCTCTGTATATATTTTGTGCATACAAAACTAAAACTATTGTGACCAGTCTTTATACTTTACACAAAAACATGAAAAAGCCTTTCTAATGTTAAACTGTTAAATACATTTAATGACGTTAAACATTAAAGCAAATGTATAAATGTCAAACAAACTTGCAAACTTTCATGCCTCTCTAAAGATGCTAAAGATCTCACTGAACATTAAGAAAAGTTAAAGCGATTTTATTTTATTGAATAATCATGCATCAGACCCATAGATTCATTAATACACATCCTATACGTGCTTCATGCGTTCAGCACCAACAAGTTTTCTCACGAATTTTCAGAAAATGTTGGGTTTTGAACTGTGGTTGTAGCATTCTGGAATAATGGGTTGGTACCCTGTAGAAGGAGAAGAAAACATAATGTGCTCAAGCATAAATACTGAACAGTTCTAGGCAGATTGACTGAATATGAAGGGTAGGGCTTTTTTGTTTGAAGAAAACAGAACTTACAGATATTTTTTCATGTTTTCTGTCTTTTTCAAATCTCTTCCATTCTCTAAGGTCACTTGCATACAGAACTGCCTTGATGATGAGGAGGACCAGGAGACCAATCAATGCCACAGCTGCCAGAGATCCTCCTACGATGGCTGCTATGTTTGGCCCTTCAGGACATTCTAACACAAGAAACGTAAAGGTAGAAAACTTGATGCATTTTAAAACTGGAACATTTGTCCAAAACATAACATTCTGGCATGAATTACTCACCCTCATGTTGTTGCAAACCTCTATTTATGCTGCCTATCTCCAAAAAGGATGAAAATCATCATGAAAAAATCCTTATGACTACTTTTGAAGCTTTTTGTCACTATAAACTACAGTATTGTTGTGTAGAAAGAGAAAGAGAATAAAGATTCTTCAGAAATTCTCATAACAGCAGGGTTCAGAATGACATGAGGGTGAACAATGACAGATCCCAAGTAACTAGTACATGATTTAGTTTTTCAGATAGTGTGTCTGGGTCTACCTCTGTCTTTGAGAACACTGACAAAGTACTTGTCAAATCCAAGCTGTTCCGTCATTGTAAATGACATCCAGCAGCCCTCTTTGTCTTTGACTCGACAGTCGCTCTTGACCAATTTTTCAACCATCGTATGTTGCAGATGTGTACAGGCTACAGTGCAGTTCTTCTCAAATGGACCGGTCCCAAAGGCCAAACATTCAACACAACTCCTGCAGCAGGTCAAGAATGTTTTAGTAATTTTTAAATATATATAAAAATATAAAACATTTAATTTATAAATTGTATTTTTATATTTTTAGTCAGCGGCTATTTGCACTAAGTGAAAATAGTATTTTCTTAGCGATATACTATTTAAACTAAGTGCAAACAGCGATATATTCTATTTCCTTTATGCAAAAATAGTATTTTCTGACAGATATTTGCACCTTGGTATTGTAGTACATTATAAAACAGTATGCAATCATAATGTATTGAGTGTAAATGATCATTTTTATTACAATTATTAAATGGATGCCGCCTTATTGGAACAATAAAGCCCTTCCTTCACCTACCGCTAACCCTAACCGATAAACAACAGTGAGGCACTTTATTTGATACTTTTTGATTATTTCATTCATTTTATTGAAAATAAATGCCTTTCTATTCTGATATGTGACGTGAAAAGGGAGAATAATGAATTTGGCAAAAGGCAGATTCAAACTCTGGTTGATCGTGTCAATAAGTTATTGCAATGAGTTTTATCACACTTCGGCACTGGAGCCATTGTTCAGAAGGTGCTTTTTGTAATGTTGTCTAGCCCAGCCACACGTTCGTGGGTGAAATTAGTGTAAATAGCCTCTGCCAACAAAACAGGCTATTTGCATTTTGTGTAAATAGACACTTTGATTTTTTTTATTATTACATTTATGTATATTATTTATATATTACAACAAGTAACAAATACATTTCCATTAAATCCATAAAACATCCTAATTTATATAACTGAGATTATGTGAAATGCCTTGCAGGAATGCTTTTAATGGCTCATTAGTAAACTGTCCTTATGAACTGATTCTCATGATTTCTGTAAGTTAGTAGTTGCAGTTAAATCCTCTAATTGGACTTATGAAATAAAAAATATGTATTTAGTTGTATTAATAATTGTTATTAACATAGCAGCTTTGTAGAGCACATGGTGACTTATTCTGAGGTTTTATTACCCTGTCTCTTGACACGGACGTTGGCAAGTAGGACACATTTTGCAGTAGGGCCCCTTGTATCCTCTCTCACATTCACACTGGTTACATACACATTTCCCACGGTTATGACAAACACTTTCATCGAGCTTGCAATCCTCATCAGATTTTGCGCAGTGACACGCTGTGCCCTCGTAGCCCTGATCACACTCACATTTTCCACATTTGCACTTGCCATGACCTGTAAATTGAAACCACATTACACTTAAGAACTGATTTTTAAAAATAATCCATGAAGCACGTCAAATATGAGCTTTTCTACACAAATCACCTGCACACTGTTTATTGTCAAATTTTTCACAGTGTTCATCGTCGCATTCACAGAATTCGCCATAGAAATTGCCACCGCCATCTGTAGAATGGCACTGACACCGTCCACACAGACAATCTCCTTTGCCTTCGCATTCGGTCCCGTTGTTCTTCCGGCACTGCGCTTTCAGTGACGCCTCGTCTTTTTGGCCTAGTTTGCACTCACAGCGCTGTCCTAAGAAACCCGGATCACAGCTGTGGACATGAGGAAGTTGCTTATGTCACTACAGATACTGTATATAAATATACTCCTGCAATAGGTCAATAATGTTTTAATAACATTTAATTTTTAAACACATAGTAAAATATAAAACACCTTATTTAATATCTAGATGTTTTTATATTTTATACTACGGAGTGTCTATTTACACTAATATATTGATAGATTGCTTGTTAAACATGAACAATGAATTGTGTGTGTGTATATATATATATATATATATATATACATATTATATAGTATGTATGTGTGCTGTATATATTTATTATGTATATATAAATACACACACATGTATGTATATATTTCTGAAAAATAGGTTATGTTTATATATTATATATATTTATTTATAATATAAATGATATCAATATAAATATAGACATGTAAATATTTTTTAAATATATACTTTACGTGTGTGTATTTTATATATACATAATAAATATACTCAGAAAACACACATATATTATGCAAACAAAAACTTTTATTTTGGATGCGATTAATCGCGATTAATCATTTTCAAACGATTAATCGCTATTAATCGCATCCCAAATAAAAGTTTTTGTTTACATAATGTATATATGTGTGCTGTATATATTTATTATGTATATATAAATACACACACATGTATGTATATATTTCTGAAAAATAGGTTATGTTTATATATTATATATATTTATTTATAATATAAATGATATCAATATAAATATAGACATGTAAATATTTTTTAAATATATACTTTACGTGTGTGTATTTTATATATACATAATAAATATACTCAGAAAACACACATATATTATGCAAACAAAAACTTTAAAAGAATGATGTATTATTTAAAATCTAATAAGATACACCATTAAGACTTAATTAATTTAAGAAAAATAATCAATTATTTGGATGAAAAATATTATTTCTTGTTTTTAGGTATTTATTTTTATAGCTAAAAATGAAATAAGATTGACCTAGGGAATTTAGGATGAAAAAGAAAGCAATTAGAAGTCATTTTGTTCTGTTACCTGCAGCCGCCACAGACGACTTTACCATTTCCCCCACAATGAGGATGGGGTTGTTTGGAATCATTACATTCACACTCGCACCGAGTCTGCACGTTCACCTTCAGTTTTTCACTAAAGCCCAATGGCCCGATGAGGAAGCTCTGACTGGTAATGCATCTGTCTACTGTTACTGTCACATTAAAAATCACCTGAAAGGATTGTGGTAAGATTAAGTTTATTTACAAAGTCGTATAATATTGACTTTACTAAAATTGCTAAAATGATAAACCAAGATTTGCATCTGCACTTGCGTAGATGATCTTTATGATCATTTGAACTAAACTTACTCACCTCCTTACCAATGTTCACATTATCACATTTCCCCTTGTCACTGGGTTTTTCTCTGCCTGCACAGTCCGATTTGTATTTCACAGATATGAAGTCTGGGAGAGATTCATGAGCCAAGATCACTTCAGAGGTCAAGTTCTGTTCCAACCCCATAGGAGATTAATAAGGGTGTTAAACATAAAATATCACAATGTTTTACTTTGAAAAAAAGGTTTGTGCAAAGTGGAAATCCCATGCACTCACGTTGTATGCATCCACGATTAGTTTGACAACGTTGCTCGAGTCTTCAGAGATCACTCCAACTGCAGATTTAGGGATCATTTTGCTCAGCTCCTGTTAAGGATACAAGTCAAGTACACCATAGTACTTCAACTACTAAGAATATTAACGCCACAGCCATATCACCCTGCAGCCCAAGACTGGTTGCCCACTGAAGCTAAGCAGGGTTGAGCCTGGTCAGTACCTGGATGGGAGACCTCCTGGGTAAACTAGGTTGCTGTTGGAAGAGGTGTTAGTGAGACCAGCAGGGGGTGCTCACCCTGTGGTCTGTGTGGGTCCTAATGCCCCAGTATAGTCATGGGGACACTATACTGTAAAAAGCACCGTCCTTCAGATGAGACGTTAAACCGAAGTCCTGACTCTCAGTGGTCATTAAAAATCCCATGGCACTTCTCGTAAAGAGTAGGGGTGTAACCCCGGTGTCCTGGCCAAATTGCCGCCACTGGCCCTTGTCTATCATGGCCTCCTAATAATCCCCAACCACTTGATTGGCTCTATGACTCTCCCTCCTCTCCACCTGTAGCTGGTGTGTGGTGAGCACACTGGCGCCGTTATCCTGTGGCTGCCGTCGCATCATCCAGGTGGATGCTGCACACTGGTGGTGGTTGAGGAGAGACCCCCCAACATGATTGTAAAGCGCTTTGGGTGTACAGCAATACACAATAAAGCGCTATATAAATGCATCATTCATTCATTCATTCATAATGTGAATTGTGTGTAAATGAAATGAAGCAAAAGGTGAAGTGTTGTAATTTATACACCAATAATATCTACAAAAATAATTACTTTAACACAGGTTTCCCAAACACTGCCGATGTTTTATAGTGCCACAGAGTCACTTGTTTACACTTTCCAGGGCACTCAATCTATCATAATCATAACTTTATATAGATAATTTATTTGCTTATTTTAGCTAAGCATGTTTTACTTACTGTGTACACAGTTTCCATTTTTTTGGTGACTGCAAAAATGGGTTGTATGTTTTGCTCCTCCAGCTTGCGAGCAATTTGTCCAACCGATGGGTAGTCCTGAAAACATAGAGTGTATTATAGTTTTGATATTTTCACATGATGTGTTATCAAGGTACTGATAGCATCTAATACATAAACCCTTTTGCATATGTACAACTTTGGAGACATACAAATGTTAAGAAATTCCTTGAGCCTTTAAGATATTTAATTATAAATTACATAATTTATTTGTATGACCATGTAAATAATTCTAAAATTGTACTAATGCAAAAGGCTTTGTGTCTTAGATGCTGTCAGTATGTTAATATTTTATGTTTCAGGGTCTATCCAAATGTGCATAAATGTACAATTGAACTCGCCCTGAACCATACTGTAATAATAAACTATACTAGTACTAAACTATTATATTTTCTATAATAATATAGTAATTAAATATTTCAATTAGTATTTTATTTTTATATCTTCTGTTTTCATTTTAATTTTATTTATAATCTTTAGTCATTCTGTTGTCATTGTTTCTTTCATTTTAGTTATTTTAGTACTTAAAATAAGCAAAAATGAGAAATGTTGCCTTGGCAACTAGTTGGAATGAGATATATTATTATTATTATTACTATTACAATTAACAATACCTGACCTTTGACTTTCCTAGTTTAGCTCAAATGCTTTTAATATAAATATTCTAAACATTTGATATTTAACATATGAATATAAAGTATTAAATCCTACCCAGAGGTTGCTCTTGCTGTACTTGTTGTTGACCAGCTCACAGGTTTCTTGGTTTGGATCCAGAATGGCAGCAAGTTTTCCATCCCCTGCCATGTGGAAGCCGTCATCAGTGGCCAACACCAGCAGTCGAGTGCTGTTTCCCCAGCCGATATCCTTCTGCATGGGTAACACATGAGAGGGGTGGGATAAACCTTTTCTAATCCGTTTGATAGGACATGTAAACACTTGAGTGGATTGAAAAGTGAAACTGGAAAATGTTGCATGTGCAATGACGTAAAAATAGCGTAATGAAGCATGGAACAAGCCAATGTTGTTGTTGTTGCTGAATATAATAAATTACTTTTGTGTCGATTTAAAATTCACCTTCCAATCATCGTCTGTGAAGTGGTGCAGGATAATGTTGTGCCACAAGTGCTTGCTTTGAACTCTCATCTACAGACGTCTTGTTTAATGGTTTGATTAATATAAGCATCATTGCACAAAGCTTCAAGTGCTTGTTGTCTCCTAATTAGGACCCAAAATAGCTAGGCCTAAATATTAAGTCTGCTTTTTTAAACAAAGAAAAGGAGGATGGTTACTATGTAAAAACAGTGGGAAACTCTGCATATTCGTGCAGTGTACGCATGTCAAAAGATTAAATACAATTGGAAGCTTGTGACATATAAATGCACACATCAACATGATCACTTCATTCAGCATTCATGTAAACGCTATGTTCGGATTCATAATTTCATTCCAATTGAAACAAAAGGTCCATGTAAACGTGGCTATAGTATGGCTGATAAATTTCTGCAAGTTATGCATGTAGTGTGAAACATATCTTAGTCTCACCATGCAGACTGCGACTTGCATGATGGCATCCAGGCTTCCCTCTGGGGGGTCCAGGTTTCCGGATATATGCTGCCGGGCTACCATATCTCTGAACCTGTTCCCATCTTTTGTCAGTGAAAGCACATGCTGAAAGCCAAATGCTGGCTGACATGGTTCATTTTTATCCGAGCACGGCTGTTGGAGCTTCGCTTCATTGGTGTCGGTGTATGGAAGAAGTGTTTTGTCAACAAACGAACCGAAGCCTGCATCAGGAAAGTTGGTTCATAAAGTCACTGCCATAACCTTTGAACTCTGAAATATGAATAATATGAATAATATAATATTTTTATGTTAATATATTTGAATACTCTTACCTATCCTGGCATTTCCAGTGATTTTAGTGAGCTCAGTAAGTAAATTATTTCCCAGTTGTTTCACATTCGCCAAATCATCTTTCATGGAGTATGAGAGATCCATTAGGTAGTAGAGATCCACTGGATAGCCTTCTGCCCTTTTAAAATGTAGTTGAAAAGTTTGGGGCAATCCTGAGGAAACAACATATTCAGTCACCTCTGTTCTCTGAAAGTCAGGCTCAAACTTACATTGAAAAAGAAAGTTGTTTTGGTTGAGCTATACAGTAGATTTGTAAGAATGTAACATACCTGGTCTAAGATTAAGTTGTATTTCTTGTGGTTGGATTTGCACTGGATTTGCACCAGCAGCCAGGGGCTTGTTTGAATTTTTTGCAAAATTGTTTTTAGGATTAATTATGCCATTGGATGAACATCCTTTATTTCTAAGCGAAGCAGCTGTGTCACAACGTATTGCTTCCTGCTCCCCAGTCTTGGTGAAATTCTGTGGTTTAAATAGGACAGACAGCACGATGTGAAGGAGATGCAGATTATATTTTTCTTTACTTGAAAAAGCCATTGAGAATTGAACAAACCAACATTGGATATTCCAATTTGACACTGGAATGTTAGAAATCAAATTGTTGACATTGAATAGTAAAACTTGCACGCTCCAAATAAATTGTCTTGCAGCAATGACACTTTGAGAGTTCTTTTTTTTCAATCAATAAAATTGCATTTAAAAGGTATTAGTTGACATTATGAGTGCCAGTGAAACAGTATTGATCGCTGGAGTTGGAAGCACTTAAGTAGCAAGCAAGATATTAATGAGCGTAACTTTGTTTTTATCTTTGAAATTACCATCAGTTATTACTTTTGAATTTTTGTTCCATATTTATGATTTTTTACTATGCTAGTGTTATATTTTCTGAAAAAACATGCACCTAAACATCATGTACAAAACAAACTGGCCACTTTAAATATCATCTAAATGAATGCTTCTTAGTCAGAATAAGCTGCAAAGTGGACCAGAATTCAAATTCTGGTTACGTGATAGACTAGGGATTGAAATTGTCTAAACTACTTTATATTATATTAGCATGGACTGAGTTCAGACAGTCAGATATTTTCTGAAGGCTAATTAAATGGTGTTTCACAGGTTCCCCACCACTGAAAATTGATTTCACTGATATTAACAATAGAGCCATTAAGAAGCACTTACCAAATCTTTACACCATGCACAGCCGGGCCCGGACTTGATGCAGTCTCCACACGTGTTTACTGAAGCTTTTAAACATTGTTCCTCCATGTAGACTTCAACAAACAGTTTAAACTTCAGTTATATCTTGAAACCATCTATTTTGTTTGCATGATTCAACATTCTGGATATTTGTTACGATTAATGTAGTTAAAAGACATGAATACAAAATGCATTTATCTGTGAGCCTCATGCTTTGTTCCAAAACCTAGTGTGTTCTATTTCAATATATGTTCAAATGTTCTCTTTCTGTGCCAAATCTGTCACTCTGAGATTCAATTTCAGTTAGAACCACTAGATTTTGGAACAGAGCCAATATTCTTCAAATACGACTTAGCTGTGTCCAAATGAAACTG